AGGTCTCAGAGGGACTGAATTTTTAAACAGATTTTCTTTACAGGAGCGATTTGATAGGAAGATGGTAATTGTTAGCGCCTTTGAAGTCTTAATGAGCAAAGGTAACATTCATCTTTGTGTTCCCACAAAAGTAACTAAGCCAATTCTGTGGGCTTAGTTTAAACTGAACTTCCCGTTAAAAGAAAGTTCCAGTACTTTGGGAATCAGAGAATCAACTTCAAAGACCAGAAGTCCAGAAGGGATGAAATTTAAATTATTAGCATATTCTTAGTCATTACTGTATCAGGACTCTGGATGGTCTGATTGAGCTGCAGACGAGGAACAAGCGATATAGCTTGTTCCCTTTTAAGGGAGACTTTTGGGAGTGCAAAAGAAAAGGAGAATTTAGAATCTGTTCCACAAGGAGCTTGAAAGAAGGCGTCACTGTGAAAGGTGGAGGGTGAGAGAAAGAGGAAGACTCTTAGAACAAGATGAATTGACACAGTAGTCTGTATGCCGGGGGATATCAGATTTGTGAGGATGGCACTGAATATGCCCTCCAGATATTTTTTGTTCATAGTCAAGCCTTGTGTCCTGGTTGACTCCATGGCGCCTAACAACAACCACCACCACCACCACCACCACTTTCCCCCGGTTGATGCGGGTTACTGGCCTTTTATTTAATAATCAGATTACCAGGTTTTTTACTTTTGACATATTTGAATTAAGACGATATAGAAATTGGCTGTAATAGAAAACAAATTAAATGCTGGTAGAAGTGTTTATTTTATGTACTCTTTTTGCGTTTTACTTATGGTTCTGATTTATGTACTAAATTTATGTTCCTTTTTAAAAAAATACTTAGTTTTGCACTTGTAAATAAGGATGTTTACATGTATCAATTTCAAGTGGAGTAGAATCAAGTAATAGAATATTTACTACTTTTGTTCATTTATTTTTTAGAAAGTACAGGGGAATCTAACTGCTGAGGTACTTCACACACGCAATGTAATTAACAAAAACCCCAACCAACAAAAAAACCTCACACAAAGAAACAGAAGCCCACTGCTCTCTAGTCTCTTGTAGCTCTTAATAACTACATTGGTTTCCACGAGTCAAACCCTTTATAGGAGGAGGTGGCTTATCTTTGTCCAGTGATTCTTAGCACCTTTTGTTAGCAGGCCAAATCTTAACATACTAGACCACCAGGACTTATTTTCAGCATAAAAAATCATTAATTTAAAGTTGTGCTTTGAATAAGTGAGATGAGCTATGGTTTACGGTATGCAAGTTAAGATTTCAGGTTTTTGGGTAAATAATCTCTTTATGATAATGGTAATGGTACCTACTTTCTAAAATTGTGAAAAGAATTGCATGAGTTTGTGGATAAACTGCCCAATAAATATTAGTTGCTACTTAAAAAGTGTGTGTGTGTTAAACACTAAAGGGTAATTGAATTTGCTTTGTGTCAGCTTTCTAGAATATGTAATAATTCTGGCTGATTTACCATTGGTAAATATCTAAAAATTTTAATTTCTTGCCCTTAGTAAGTTTTTTTGCCATGTTTTTTTCAATATCAGTTTTACTACATGATACTGTGGATTTATGTATTTGATAAAATTAATACTATATTATCAGTATAACACTTGTTAATATTATATAACATCAAATATTTTGCTTGAGTGAGATTTGTTTGAAGGATTTTAAGTTTGTAATTTTTGGTGAGATGAATTTCCTGAAATGAGATTTGATGAAATGTTTATTCTATGCAGTCTGTTTATTCATTTTCTCAGAAAATAGTTTTTGATTTGAGCACCAGGTATAGATATCTGATTTTGTAGATATAAACCTGTGGATATTATAATTATTTGTGCAACAGATAATAGCAGTAAAGAAAGAATATCAGTGTTAGTTGGTTATTTACTGGGTTGCTGTCATGTGCTGTTGAGTTGCTTGTGACTCATAGCAACCTTATGTACAAGAGCTCTGAAGCCTGCACTGTATGGAGTCAGTCTCACTAACTCCGACACACCTACCCCCATGACCCCAGGTACTGTGTCAATCCATCTCATTCAGGGATTCTTCTCCTGCGCTGTCCCTCCACACATCAGAGCATGATGTCCTCTAAGATCTCTCCTGGCTACATGCCCAAGTATGTGGCACAGGTTCAAAATCCTAGCCTCCAAGTGATACTTGATTTCACCATCCCCAGCACAGACCTGTTTCTTTCTCTTTGGGGTCCATAATATGTCCACTACTCTTTGCCAGCATCACAACTCAAAGGCATCAATTCTTCTTCTCTCATCCTTGGTCATTGTCCATCTCTTTGATGCATAGCTAGTAATTGTGAAGGCCATGGCCTGGATCAGGTGTACCTTAGTCTTTAGATTGACATTGTTGCTTCTGAGTACTCTGAAGGGGTCCTAGACAGTAGATTTTCACAGTGTAATTTATTGTTTGATTTCCTGACTGCTGGTACCAAGAGTGTTGATTGTGGGACCAAGAAAGCTGATATTGTTAACAACCTCCATTTCTTTTCCATCTGTCATGGTTCCACCAGTTGGCCCAGTGATGAAAACCTTTGTCTTCTTGATGTTAAGCTTCAATCCATATTAAAGACTACAGTCCTTGACTTTCTGCAGCAAACACTTCAGGTCCTCCCCAGTTTCAGCAAGCAAGGTTGTATCATTTGCCATAACACAGGTTGTTTGTTGAGTCTTCCTCTAATCCTAATGTTACATTCCTCTCCATAAAGCCCATCTTCCCAAATTATCTGTACTGCTTATAAATTGAAAAGGTATGGAGATAGGATGCATCCCTGATGCACTCCTTTCCTGATTTTGAACCATGCAGTGTTACCTCCATTTTTTCTGAGGACTGCTTTCTGGTCCAAGTATAGGTTTTGCATGAGCACAAGTGTTCTTGATTCCCATTCTCCTGAAGGTTAACCACAATTTGTTGTGATTCACATACTCAAATGCCTTTCCATAGTGACTGAAACATAGACAGGCATTCCTCTAGTACTCTTTTTGTGCCAAGATCCTTCTGACATTGACAATAGTGTCTCATCTCTAGTGCCACGACCTCTTCTAAACCTAGCTTGTATTTTTGGTAGTTCTCTGTCGATGTACTGTGTGAGTCGTTTTTGGGTAATCATCAGCAGGGTTTTTTTTTGTCTGTGATATTAGTAATATTGTTTGATAATTTCTACACTTTGTTGGGTTACAGATTTTTTTTGGAATGGGAATAAATATGGATCGCTTCTAGTAAGTTAACTGAATAGTTGTCTTCTAGATTTCTTGACACAACCTGGGGAGCACATGTAGGGCAGCAGCGTTTGTTGAAATATGTTAGTTGATATTCCATCAGTTCCTGGGGCTTTATTTTTTTTGCCAAATCTTTCAGAGCAGCCTGAACTTCCTCCTCCATCACCATTGCCTCTTGATCATATGTTGTTTCTTGAAATTCTTCTGTTTTAGCCAATTCTTTTTGTTATAGGAACATTGTATCCTCCAACAATCTTCCTGGAATCATGCTTCCTGTATCATTCAAGATAGTATCAAATATATTGCTAATAGACAAGTCAGTAAAAGCAATATTTTCTAAAAGTCATGGTAACATTTATATCAGTACATCTCCCCCTTTATATTTTAAAGAATTACAGATTATATTAGAAAATGAAGTATGAGGCATCCAAAAAATATATTAGCTATTTCCTTTTTTCCCCAGGGAGAAGAAGAAAAGAAAAGCAAAAATGTGTGTGAAATGCCCAGAAGCACTCAGTTCTCTGTTTATGAAATTATGATTTAAATTAATATGTTCTTCACTAATATATGGAGCTCAAGTGACCTAGTGATAAGATGCACGACAATCCCAAAGGTTCAGGGTCTAAATCCACCAGCTGCTCTGCAGGAAAAGGATGAGCATTCTCCTTTCATGCCATTAACTGCCTCTGAAAACTCACTGGAAGGTTAGCTATGTGTCAGTTCTGACTCCAGGATGTACAACCACACTATATGCCACAAAGATCATCACTTAATAATATGTATATGACAAGTCCACATGAATTTGAGACTGAGTTCTGTTTCTTTTGGGATGGTCATAGGTCATCTTTTTTTGATGGACAGTCTCTTGAACAAAATTACATAAAAATGAAAATTCAGCATTACTCAAAAAACAGAAGAGAATGAAACAAAAGATCACTTGAACCTAAACGTTAAAAATTCTCTAGTTGTCCAAATAGCTTTTCATATAGACAATTCTAGTATACTGAACAGGAACTCGGTGATGTAACAGTTAAGTACTTTGCTGCAAACCCAATGATTAACCACTTAAACAAATGGTTAACCACTAACCATTGTTACCCAATGGCTTGCAGGTGAAGGCTGGACTTCTGTACAGGTTGGTTGTTGTGTATCTTTGAGTTGAACTGACTCAGCTGACCCTCAAGTTTTTCAGAGACAGTAAATTGCATAGGAGGAGATAACCCATATTTCTTTGGTGGAGCAGTTGGAGGATTCAAAGCATGTTCCTTTGGGCCAGCAGGTCCAAGGATATTGCCTGGAAACTCCATAGGGCTGGTCTGCTCTATCACATGACTCGCTATGAGTTAAAGTAGACTCTTACATTGTTGATAATAAAAACAACACATTGAACCCACTTCACTCTTTAAACTTAATCAAAATGAATTTTTTTTCCAGAAGGAAATGATGACTAGATATATTCTTAAATTCATAGATAGTTAAAACTTTGATGTCCTTAGAATTTGTCACACTAAATACATACACAAAATTATATTTTCAGATTATTTTAGTTTCTTTTTTGTCTTCTTATAAGGAGATCATTTTCTTTCAGTTGTTAAGGTGGTCAAATGATAAGTGTTACACTTGCATTGGTGCTGAGTTTAAAAAAAAATTATGATTTCGTATGCTTATAGTAGTTTACTTTCCTCCAGGTGTTCGTTTTTTTTTAAATTAATAATCATATTTTTCATTTTTTTCCCAGATTTATTGACCTACAGGATGCTTCGATACCCATATTTTTATAGACTCTATAAAGAACTTTTTCCATGCTGGTTGGAATGTGGAAAGCTTGATTTAAGTACTTGGCAAAAAAATATACATGGTGCAGTAGAGAGATTGAATGAATGTAAAGCCCAGGAGCAAACATGCAAAACTGGAGCTCAGGAGTCACCCCTAAATCAAGACGGAGAGTCAGAAGCTGCAACCCAGTTACATATTCCAGTTATGGTCGATGAAGTGGTTCGTTGTTTGGCCCCACAAAAAGGGCAGGTGAGTTGATGGCTGTATTTAGTTTTTGAAATATCATTTACCATTTTAAAATGTACACTTCTTTGGATTTTAGTATATTCACAAAGTTATGCAACTAATACCACTATCTAATTCAAGGACATTGCCATTCCTCCTCTAAGAATCCCCACTCGTCCCTTTAGCAGTTACTCTCCATTGTTCCCTCCCCTCATCGTGGACAGTCATTAAAATGCTTTCTTTATGGATATGCATGATCTGTACCTTTAATATAAATAGTAATCTAGACCTTATTTTACTTAACAATGTTTTCAAGGTTCATCTTTGTTTACGTATGTATCGATAATACATTTCTTTTTTGGCCACATAGTATTTCCTTGCATTAGATGTGCCAAATTTTATTTGCTGTGCATTAGCTGATGGTAACTATTTATTTTTACTTTTTTACTATTTTGAATGATGTTACTAAGAATCTTTATGTACTATTTAATATGTGGATCTGGGTTTTCAGTGCTTTTGGATCCATATATGCGGTGAAATCAGTGGTTCACGTAGTGACTCTGTGTGTATCCTTTTGTGGAACTGCCACACTGCTTTCTAGAATTGATTGTTGTATTGTGAGGTGCCACCAAGTTGGCTCTGATTCATAGTGACCTTACGAACAATAGATGGAAACCGTGGCTTAGCCTGTGCTACCCTCATCTCTGTCGTGCTGAAAGCCCATTTTTGTGGTTACTCTCAGTCTGTCTTAATGAGAATCTTCTTCTCTTTCACTGCCTCTACTCTTTAAAGATAGATTGCTACAATGCCTGTGGCAATGGACCCAAGTGGATCTGGAATTATAAGAATGATGCAGGATAAGAGAGGGTTCAGATATGTTGTTCATGTGTCACTATGCGTCATACTCAGTGGTCCCTAACAACAATAATAACTATGATAACACTTTTCTAAACAAGGTAAGTTTCATTTGGTCAGATAACTGTTATAAGAGAAAGGAATGTTAAACCAGTTGAATAATTAAAAAGTAAAAACTGAATGCAAATATGCTTTCTTGGGAATTTCAAGATCTCTTCAGAAATGATTAGAGATAAGATATGTACCAGAGTTACTGTTCTCTGTATTCATAATTGCAGCTCCTCAACTAACCATTATAACTCATAATGCTGTTGGAGGGTTAAATAAGATCTTATATATGAGTGTTTATTAAAATTTAAAAAGAGATCGCAGATATTTTAGTGTAATAGTAAAAAATCTTTAAAAATAACAGATTTATAAATAATACAAGGCACCAACTGCATGAAGATGACACAGAACAGAGCAGCATTTTGTTCTGTTACACGTAAGATTGTCATGAGTGGACGCTAACTCAATGGCAACTTACACTAACTACAACCCCCCAGAATTATACTGAATTGCAGTATCTTTCCTTTTAAAAAAATGCCTGATTTGGTGTACTAATTTCACAAATATCCTCCCTTATTTCTGAAGCTGCTAATTACTTTTATTTGAAAAGCCACATTTTACTTCTTTCTTTCAGCTTACAAGATGAGCACATTTTAACTTATTGATTAAGAACAGAAGTTCCAGAATTGGACTACTTAGGTTCACATCGCTTTCAAGGAGAGAGATATCAACATAGATAACGATTTTAAGTTTTAAAAATCAGTTTGCTTTCACCTTAGGCAGTATATACATAACAGTATAAACCCAGTGCTTCCATTAACGTTAGAGGATGAAATAAATGAGATTATGTGTAAAAACCATCTAACATAATGCTTTCAAATAATTGTTGTTTACTGCCAAGTGAGAACCAAGTGAGACTTAATCCTTAAGTGGGTTTTCAAAGGCAGTAAATCACACAAGAGGATATCGCCCATTGCTCTTCCATGAAGCAGATGGTGGATTTAAACTGTGTGGTTTTGGGTCGACAGTGCAACTCCTTACCACTAAATCAGTCTAATGCTGTCACATTAGTTCTTTGTAGATGCCCTCTAATAGACTACAACTCAACAATTACCCTAGGAACAATAGACTGAACCTTCTCGTATCCTGCATTGTCTTCATGCTCTCTGCCATAGTCAAGCCCAGTGTTTCAGTCACTGTGTCAGTTTTTCTTTGATGATCTTCCTCTTTTCTCTGACTCTCAGTTTTTCCAAGCATCATGTCTTTTTCCAAGGACTGACTGGCACTTCCTGACAACATGCCCAAAGGAGGTGAGATGAAATGTCACTAATCTTGCCGCTAAAGCCACCCTTCCCAGTGTATCTCCTGATGTCCTGACTGCCCATACCACCTGTATTGATTGTGTATCGCAGTAGATGAAGTCATTGACAGTTTCAATCTCTTTTCCATCCATGATGATATTGCTTACAAAGGGACAGAGGTGAGCATTTTTGACCTTTTTTTTTTTGCATTGAGATGCAATCTATATTGAAGGCTGTAGCCTTTAATCTTCTGCAGCAAGTATGTTAGGTCCTCCTCACTTTAAGCAAGGTTGTGTCTTCTGCATAACGAATATAACATACTGTTATTGTTGTTGTTATGTGCTGTCAAGTCGCTTGCGACTCATAGCGACCCTATGTACAACAGCCCTAAACTCTGCTATAACAGCCCTAAACTCTGCTGTCCTATGCCAGTCACACTGTCTCTAATACACCCATCCTGATTACCCCAGTCACTGAATCAATCCACCTCATAGAGGGCCTTCCCCTCCTGCACTGTCCCTCCACCCCACCAAGCATGATGTCCTTCTCCAAGGCCCGGTCTCTCCTTATAACATGTCCAAAGTATGTTAGATGAAGCTTCAGAATCCTTGCGTCCAAGGAGCCGGCTGGTTTAACCGTCTCCAGGATGAACCTGTTTGTTTTCCTAGCAGTCCATGGTACCTTCAGTACTCTTCTCCAGCACAAAGCTCAAAGGCATCAATTCTCCTTCTCTCCTCCTTAGTCATTGTCCAACTCTCTGATGCATAACCAGTGACAGCAAAGACATGGCCTGTATCAGATGCATCTTAGTCTCCAGAGAGACTATTGCACTGGGAAATTCTGCATAGAGGAACCTCTCCAAATTATTGAGGAGCAATGATGTCAATTTAAGGACTAAAGTGCACCAGATTCAGGTCATAGTCTTTTCAGTCACTTGCTATGCTGCTGAAAACTGGACAGTGAATAAGGATGACAGAAGAAGAATTGATGTCTTTAAACTGTGGTATTAGAGAAGAGTACTGAGTATCTGCTGGACTGCCAAAAGAATAAACAGATATATCTTGGAGAAGGCACACGCAGAGTGTTCCTTGGAGGCAAAGATAATTAAACTTCACTGCACATACTTAGGGCATGTTATTAGGAGAAGTTATTAATTGCAGAAGGATATTATATGTGAAAGGAGGAAGGGGAAGGGAAATTGAAAGAGAGGGAGATCCTTGATGAGGTGGATTGACCCAGTGACTGTGGCAGTGGGCTCAGTGAGTCAGATTTGGACAGGTTAGTACAAAGTTCAGGTCTGTTAGTTGGTCTTTGGATTGCTCTGAGTTGTCCTCACCTTAACAGAACCTAGCAAAACCAACAACATCGTACACTCTTGTACTTCCTTCAGTCGGATTATTTATTCTGTTAGCAGTTTATGACATAGTAGAAACTCAAAAATCACATTAAAATGGATATTAAAAAGTTAAATTGGGTAAAACTTCTTGTTGCCTACATCAAAATGAAATTCTTTTCATGTAGGGATCTTTGAAACAAAGAAAACTAAGTCTGAGGTTTAAAAAAAAAAGTGAGTAAATAATACATTCATTTTATGTACCTATAGTCAGAGTTCTACTTATAAATGAGATCTTTTTTCTAAGTGTGTCTTTAAGTCAAATTTGTGGGTAAGTAAGAACAGGTAGTTATTTAGTGTCAATAAAATATTTGTCTTGGTATACATTTTGCAATTCTCTTCATATAACACATGAAACCCAAATACACCAGCACATCTTAAAATTAATAGTAGAATACATAGTAATAATAATTCAGTAAAAATAAAATATAAGAATCAAATCCCTATGCATCTAAAAACGTCTCCAACAGGGTAAAAAGGGAAGCCACAGACTGGGA